GGATTTACTGAGACTGTCCTCAGGCTGGGAGAGAGGGTGGAGTCAAAGACTGTCTGACTATCACTGACAGGTGGAATGGAGGATTCAGCAAATACCAGCTAAGGACATAAATACTGTTAGGTTGGTCTCGGAGGTGTTCTGAGATTTATAACTTGAAGGGAAGGGACTTCAGGGGCCAACTAATCCAGCACCCTCATTTTTATACGTGAGGAAATTAAGGGTGAGGGGAGATTAAGTGAACTGCCCAAGGACACATAGGTAGTAAGAAAATATCTAACAATGCACAGCTCAAAAGGCAGCTCAGGCACAAACAGGAATTAAGAAACAATTCTGTAGCTATAGTTGGCCTTATGAAAAGCTAGACTAGGCAGGTCCCCCGATTTAAAGGGCACAGAGAAGGCCCCCTCATACTGCTGTCATTTCTTAAATAGCCTCAAATTCCAACATTAGGTATCCTTCCTCTAGGTTAACATGAGCCGAGTTTGAGGGAAAAAAATTGAAGGGCTGTCACCAGTTATTAACACTTAGTGTGAATTAGTTTATTAGAAGATTATCCTATAGTCTTAGAAAAAACAACACTCTTCTGATCTCTAGAGATAATATTTCTATAGCATTAGATTCCCTAAGACATTTAAAAAAATATTAGTAACCTATCTACTTGGTGAACAGTTTAGAAAGTAAGTTTTCTCCAGCCATGTTCCATTTCCCCCCAGTTCTGATTGCTTTCTATGAAGAAAATTTCTAAATATTAAATACAAAATATAAAAATAAAATGAAGAATATTTCTAAATAGAGGATGAGCTAGCTAGGCACTTAGACTTCCCAGTTTTTGATTTCAATTCTGCACCAACATCCAGAGAACCAACAAAGCAGCTTTTTTGGGGGGGGAGTAGGTAGGATTTGTGATTTCACTGATACAGAGAACTCCGAAGAGGAAATTCCTTCTACTAGTGTAAATTATTACTTGCTCTAAAATGTATACAGTCTTCAGTGACTTTCTGAAGGTCAAGCAGACAATACGGATCAGAGGCCCAATGGGGCCTTGAGCCCAGGGCCTGATGAATACTCCATCAGGCTCTCTCTATTAAAGAAGTTTTCTGATAACTTAATACATTCAACTTAATTCGATAACAAATTTAATATTAAGCATCTGTTATGAGATATAAAAACTTATTCTTGATTCTCTTTTCTACAACGGAATACTACACTTCCTGAGTGTGAAAGGGAAAAGCTTTCTTACTCTTCCCTGGAGCTCCCAACTCCAATTCTTTAATTATCTAGTCATGATTACTATACTATTACACATTAACTGGGCCATTTCTGTGTTCCCAGAAGAATATCTGAGAGAGCGCATGGTGCCTTTGGTGATCCATGGAACACAACTGGAATGGCTGTGCTTCACAGAAAATGAGGTAATATTAAAATGATTGGTTTTGTTATTATTAGTAGTTGACATTTATTCATGTAGTATTTTATGGTTTACAAAACATGTTGTATACTTTATCTTATTTGATCCTTGCAACTTTGTGAGAGAATTACAATTATCATTATCCCCATTTTACAGATTAATTGAAGCAGAGAGAGGTTAAGTAATATGTCTAAAGTCACACAGATAAGTGGCAGAGAGGTAGCATTTGAACTCAGATCTTCTGACTCCAGAGCCAGTGCCATGATACTTTACCATTTTGTCCAATTAGTCTTAATTTAAAATCCTGCACCATTAATATATATTAGAAGATCCCTATTCATGTGGGATAAGTGCCATTTGGCTGAATTCCACAAATATTTTGAGAGGAATAGAATGCTCCACTCTATAAATAAAATAAAGCTGTTCCTCTATAACTTCCCCAATATGTCCTCTGATCCTGTTTATTCTATTCTCATTATATTAAGTTTCCTCTTCAAAAAAGAATCAACAATTTTTAAGGAACTGATCAGAGGCCAAAAAGCTATTATGTAACACTATAGTAATCATGACCTTAAGTTGATTTGTATAACATAGATTTTTTAGAGATGGAAGTAATTTTTTTTTTAAGGCAATTGGGGTTAAGTGACTTGCCCAGGGTCACACAGCTAGTAAGTGTCAAGTGTTCGGTCTGAGGCCGGATTTGAACTCAGGTCCTCCTGACTCCAGGGCTGGTGCTCTATCCACTGCACCACCTAGCTGCCCCTCCCCTTTTAAGATGGAAGTAATTTCACCAAGGAGAGATGAATTATAGTTGTCTATGTATAATGTTTTCTTTCTACATAGATTTTGTGTTCAGTTGTCTCAGTCATGTCCAACTCTTTGTCAGCCCATCTGGGGTTTTCCTGGCAAAGATCCTGCAATAGTTTGCCGTGTCCTTCTCTAGCTCATTTGACAGATGAGGAAACTGAGGCAGAATGAAGTGACTTGCCCTGGTCTTACACTCAGTGTCTGAGGCTACATTTGAGCATAAGTCTTCCCGAGCTCAGGATGGGGACCCTACTGCACTGCCTAATTGACTGTACATAGATTTAGAGAAATAGTTCTATAGACCCGTTTCTATACAGATGTGCTAAAGCCATTTGTTGTTCATTCAGGTGTGTCCAACTCTTTGTGACCCATGGATCATGGCGTGCCAATACCATCCATGGAGTTTTCTTGGCAAAGATACTGGAGTGGTTTGCCATTTCCTTCTCCAGTGGATTGAAGTAAACAGGTTAAGTGACTTGTCCAGGATCACATAGCTAAGTAAGTTTCTAAGGTCATATTTGAAGTCAGGTCTTTCTGACTTTAGGCCCAGTGTTCTAGCTACTGAGCCATCTGGCAGCTTCACCACAAAAGTCATTAGTGGCTCTCTATTCCCTACTGAGGGAATTTCAAATTTTTTTGTCTGGGCATTCATGTACCTTCACCTTGGTAGGCACCATCCTATCTTACTAACATGTCTTAAATATAACTCTCTTCCATGTACTCCATATTCCAACCAAATTGGACTACTCTCTATATCCAAACATGGGCAGCATTTTTCTACCTCAATGTTTTTGTTCTATGTATCTGGAATACACTTCTCTTTCCTCTTCACTTGTTTAATACCTACCCATCCTTTAAATCCCAAGACAAATACTATTTCTGCCAGGAAGCCTTCTCTGATGTCCTACCTCCTTTCCTCCCTTCCTTTTATAACCTCTCATACTGAGCACTTCATTCTGTGCCTAACACATGTAATATTTTGCATCATAGATGTCTGTATCATTTCTCTAATAAGAACTGACATTTGGTACTTTATATTTGTTATCAGAAGTAGCAGAAGTATTAATAATAATAGCTAATATTTATAAAACACATAAGTTTTCAAAGCACTTTATAGACATTATATATACTATATATACATATATACACACATATATATACACACACACATACACACACTACATACACACACACATTATCTCATATGGTTCTCACTACAACTCTGTTAGGCAGGTACAACTATTATCCTCATTTTTACAGATAAGTGAAACTGTAGCTCATGGAGGTTAAATGACTTGCCCATAATTATAGTAGTATCTGAGTGAAGATTCAAACTCAGATCTTCCACACTCCAAGTCCAATACTCCACCCACTAAGCCACCTAACTGCCCCTATTAACAAATTCCACCAGAATGAAACTATAATGAGTCTGGGGGTTCTATCTTACTAGAACTTTTTTCTCTCCTAGTGCCTCACAATGGGTTATATACACAGCTTAATACATGTACAATGAGTTGAATGGGGTTCCTTATCATAACTCATATAATTTATCAAATTTACATTTTTATTTCCTACATTTGAAATGTTTTTATCCTTAGTTATTGCACTGATCCAGATCAACATAATACTACCTTATATTTACTTAATACTTAAGTTTTAAAGGCACTTTCAGATTTGTCATGGCATTTGAGCTTTCTTTGAAACAACACTGAAGTGTGAAAAGTATTACTATCCCTACTTGACAGGTGAGAGAATTGAGCCTAAGGTAGTGATTTGCTTATAGCCACAAAGTGAAGTTGGTGGCAGAATGGGGATTAGAATATAGATCTCCTGAATCCCAGACCTGTGGCACTTTCCAGTAGATAATGCTGCCTTTTTATTTGAAATAATAGTTCTCCAATTGTGCCAGTCCAAACCGCGCACTCTCTCACAGCCAAATCAGCCAACCAGAGTCATACTCACCTATCATCAGAGGCCACCCGGGTAAACCAGAAACGAGCCGATCGGGGGGTGCAAAAACCTGAACTTTATTCAATAATCATCACAGCAAGGCCAGGCAGGAAGGCACACACGCGAGCAGGAACAAAAGCCGACTCCGCCCCCCCTCCCTCCAGCTCTTTTTAGTA